ACTTCAGTTTATCGCTCTGAGGCTATGACATTGATTAACTGTACGTACTGATAATGTATGCTGTTCGCCTTCTATGGTGTGTGTGCGCACAATGTGTCCAGCATATATTCAAGCCTTTGAGCTATGAATAAATCAGTTGGAAGTGAGCGCTGTGTGTTTGATGCATGGGTGTGTGCGTGTGTGAGTGATCGTGTCGTGTTTTCGTGCTCGAATTAACTTTTAGAAACGATGTTGTTTTGTTCACTTGGTGAATTTCAACCCATTTATTGTAAGCATCCGGAATTACCAAGAATGTGTGCCAAAGTGTGCTCGATCTACCCTAGTCCAGTGCTGGAGCTCGCGTCGCAGCGCGTTGATTTAATTGGCTGGCTGTGCACTCTTCAGCTATCTCGGTGCCCTTGCAGATTCCCGGCCAGCACATGTAGCTGCAGGCGCGCTTCATTGTGATCACGCCTCGGTGTCCAACATGAATGAGAGCTATTGCTCATTGTCGAAGTGGGCCATGAATGACAACTCATGATCCCAATTTGATACAACCACGATGACAGTTGAACTCCATTGCTCTTTTGTTAAAAGCGTTGAAGTTCTCATTCTTGAAGTTTTGAACTCTGCCCTCCATCAGGGCGTTGTACAGCTTGAACAATGTTGGGTCATCTTGCGTGGCCATTGTGACTTCGTCAATTGTTAGTGGGGAGCCTTGGTAGCGCTTCGAACATGAGCACGCAGCCAACTTGAGGTGTATCCTCAATGGTTTTGCTGAGGGGTAAGCGGCTCAGTGCGTCGGTGTTAGACAGTACACGACGTCGTTGTCTTATACTGACATCTTGATGCACCATCGGATCATACGAGGCGGAAATGGCTGTGGAATCTGCTTCTGGGGCTCTAGGATACTCAGGAGTGGCCTGTGATCAGTCAGAACAGTCACATGTCTGCCCGCGATGTACTGATCAAAATGCGTGGCTCCATGGACGACGGCTAGTCCTTCCTGATAAACCTGAGAATAATTTAGTTCCACAGGGGTTAGCGTGCGGGAAGCGAATGCTATCGCAGGGTTGTCAAGTTTAGTTTTAGTTTTGTTTCACCGTAAAAAGTTCCATTCTGTTTCCGTTTCAGAGCGAAAAAAAAGTTCCCTAACGGTTCGTAATGATTTTTCTTTTTCTGCAAGACATTAAAGTTAAATTAACTATAAAAACATAAAATTTTTCCTTTCATATCGCGGGACCAATCTAAAATAAATTAAAAGGTTCCTAAGGGAAGCGCAAGTAGCTTTACCGTGAGTTCGTAACCAAATAACGCAAACCAGTGCTTTTCAAAGTTAGCGTTTTTTATTCTCTGAAGAGTGAATTAGAAATACTCTGAACGGGCTCAATGTTTTTTTTGTGTGTGTGCGTGTGTGAAAAATCTCAGAAGCAGCTCATTGTCGAGGGTATTCTCTTATATGCGCGCCCTTTGTTCTGATCAAGCAAACTTCTGGGCGGCCTGTGTGAAAGGCATACGAAAGCCCACTTGAACGAACGCAAACGTCTATGGTTCACACTTTTTTTTTGTTTTTCACAATATTTGGACACACCTTTACTTAGGAATGCCTGCCCTACACATACTCACCGATTCTGTGCCCTCAGTTATGCAGGATATTGCTCACGTTGCATGACCTCAGTTGTTCCGGATCGCCAAGTTTTCCCGTGAAATGTAAAACGATAAAAATATTTTGTTTTTGCTCCGGAACTAAATAATTATTGACGTTTAAATTACGGTTTCTTTCCGGTCAAAAATATCAATTTTTTTCGTTTTCGTTCCGTTGCGACACTGGGCTATTGCTGCTTCTCTGCCTTGATCGTCAATCTGGGAAAGCACTGCACCGACGTTGTAGCATGAAGCGTCACACGCCAGAAGCAAAGGCCAGTGTCTCGTCATAGTGACTGTGCCTCACACTGTCATGCCAAGGCACGTCTTTGCAGGGATGCACACTTGGGCTTCTGTGACACGAAGGAACAAATGCTGATCTGTCTCAGATCGCAGAAATATTGCACGATGCTCCTCGGGAGGTCATTTCAGCACGAAGACGACTTGCGCTGCACGAAACGACTTGAAGTTGCCGTGCGGGAAAAAGCCAGCCGTGTTTACAGAAAGCTCAATCTGCAGTATTGAAACGAATATGTCTCATACAAGAAAGTCGCATGAAGAGGCCTCGCTGCGCTCAGTAAATGGAGCGAGATGTTACATCACCAACTGACTTCGAAGACATGGATGCCGCTGAACGGCGGACAGAACTACTGGCAAATTGTACTTCTACAAAGTCAAATCACTATCAAAACTGCACCAGATGTTTAACAAGAATAGGGCAGCAGCGCGAAACTTGTGAACGAACCAGTGACTATGAATGCCGCTGTCTCCTGGGATAATCACTTGACCAATGATTACATGTGGGCGATCATAGCTGAGCGGCTTCTTTAGAAAAAAAAATATTCCAGTTTCCTGACAAATGTATATTCTCCTTTCACATTGTGTCCAATTGTTCTCTTAAGTTCTTGAAAGCTTTTCTAAATAATTTCTGTAACATAGCCTAGGCTTTTTCAAACACAAGTAATGTTCATGAAGCATTCATCATATGGTTGGTGCCATAAGCATTTAGTTCATTATGGTTCATATTTACTTATAGGTTTCTGTCGTGTAGCCGGCACGGCGACACGTGAAAGTAACCACGCTACACCACTGTACAATCCATGACAGTAATCCAGTTTAATCAGCGAGTATCGTTTATATACACACGAGCGCCGTGGTGCCATCTATTGTGAGTCCAATGACTCAGAAGGCCATGTGGTGTAAACGCACAACACTACATCTACCCCCTCCCTTGATAATAGAACACAGATTATGTGCATAGAAATGAAACAGTCACTACCCGTGACAGAAAACTATAGTAAGTCTCCACTGTAAACAAGTCACTGCACATAGTCCCCGAGTCTCTCTGGTGGTCTTCGCTCCCGTGTGGAGCGATGGTGGGGCACCGGCTGCTCTTCTGGCTGATGGACGACCTCTGGTTCGTCGGCACGATCAGCACCCAGTCCTGCGGTCGTGTTCCCCGTTGGTGGAGGCCATGGTGGGCTTGGCGTATGAGGAGGCAGTGCTGCCCCCCCCCCCCCCGGAGACTGTGCAGCTTCCTGTATTGGGATATTTTGGGTCGTGTGGCTCTTTGCCTTCGAGGACGGTTTTTGTGCTGCGGCGTTTCCTGCCGACCCGCCTGTCTCCATGTTCGCCCACAGCGGTTCTTGTCTTCCCCCGTTTCTTCGTGAACAGCTTCATGGCGTACAGCCGACAGTTGGGAGGCATTCCAGGTACGGCCGTCCTCCAAGTGGAATGACCATCGTCCTACCCGCCTCAGTATTTTGAGTGGAGCCCCAAAACTAGGGGTGCCTTTTATTCCAGGTACCGGGCGTTTCACCCGCACGTAGGCCCCCACTTTAAATTTGGGCTCCCGGGCTGCTCTTCGCTTGTCTGCATACACCTTATTTCTTTGTTGGTATTCGCAGACACGACGCCAAAGTCTACGCAGTTCACGGGCAGGATGGGTGCCGAAATCCGCTGATGGCTGGCCAGCAACATCTAATGATGTCCTCATGTGGCGGCAATGAAGCAACACTGCTGGAGAGATGCCAGTGGCGCTGTGGGGTGTGGCTCGGTAAATACTCAGGTACTCTATAACTGTGGTCTTTATTGGTCGCTGCTCTAAGAGAGCTAGTTGTATATACGATTTCAAGACCCTGTTGAATCTCTCCACTAAGCCATTGGCTTGAGGGTGGTAAACTGCCGAGAAGAAATGCTTGATGCCCCTGTCTGCAAGAAAGCACTCGAATTCACTCGACGTAAACTGTCGGCCGTGATCTGAGACTAGTTCAGTCGGGTAACCCTCTCGCGCAAAGACAGCAAGCAGAAAGTTGATCACCGTGCGAGAAGTGATGTCGCTGCAGAACGCAATCTCTGGCCATCTGGAGAAGTAGTCCACTATCACGATGACAAATCGACAGTCGGCCGGTGCACGCTCAAAGGGGCCCATGATGTCTATTGATATTTTGTCCCAAGGCCGGTCAGGAAGCGGGACAGACTGTAGTGGGGCTTGCCAGTTCTTGACACTTTTGTCCGAGGCTTGACAGGCGCTGCAACTCCGGACGGCGGCCTCCACATGCTTGTCAAGGCAAGGCCACCAGTACTTCTCCCTGGTGCGCTGCTTAGTCTTCACAATTCCCGGGTGTGACTCATGAGCTAACTGGATGAATGTATCCCTTAGCTTGGCAGGCACTACAACGCGTTCTGTGCGCAGAAGCAACCCATCTACTACCGATAGCTCATTTCGTATTTCGTAGTACGGAGTCAGTTCTGCGGCAAGTCTTTTCCTTGTTGGCCATGATGACTGGATAAATTGCATTACCTGCCGTAGTATGTCATCTTCCGCGGTAGCAACCTGAAGATTCTCCCAATGTACAGACGATGTGACCAAGGACAACCTCTTCATCAACATGGAAGGCCCCTTCTGTGTCTGGCACGGGCAGTTTCGACAAGGCATCTGCTACCTGGTTGTGGGCTCCGCTGCGGTACTGTATTTTGAAGTTGTAGCGCAGCAGTCGTGCGGTCCACCTTGCAATACGAAGTGGCCGCTGTCCTGTGTTACGGGATGAGAGCAATGCCACCAAAGCCTGGTGATCCGTCAGTAGAGTAAATGATCTGCCCCAGAGGTAAACGTGCCACTTCTCGCATGCCCACAGATAGGCAAGGGCCTCATGCTCTCCGGCCGAGTATTTTCGTTCTGTCTCTGTTAATGTCCGCGATGAAAATGCCACAGTACGCACATGGGACCCCTTCACTTGCTGCAGTACGGCACCGGGACCGTACGCAGAGGCATCTGTTGCGACAATGACAGGTAGCGTCGGGTCAAACATTCGGAGGACCTTGTAGGATGCTAGAAGTCTTTTTACTCCCGCGAAGCTCTCTTTCGCAGCGTCATCTCAGTCGAAGTGCACGTCTTTGCGAAGTAGACGACGCATTGGCATTACTTGCTTTGCCAGTCGCGGCACGAATTTGGAATAGTATTCAACTAGCCCCAAAAAGGAGCGTAGCGTGGCTGCATTTCTAGGCGCAGGAGCATTGATGATTGCATCAATCTTGGTCTGGAGCGGTGCTATACCCTCTGCGCTGACGCGATGTCCTAAGAACGACAGCTCCGACGTGTTGAAGACGCATTTTTCGTTGAGCTTAAGCCCAGCTTCTGCTATTCGTTCCAGCACTTGCTCCAGGTTTTGCCTGTGTTCGCTCTCCATCTTGCCAAAAATGATTATGTCATCCAAGTAGCATAACACCCCTTTGCAACCTCCAAGAATTTTCGTCATGATCTGCTGAAACGCAGCTGGTGCCGATGCCAACCCGAAGCAGACCCTCTTGAATCTAAAGAGGCCATCGTGAGTTATAAATGAAGTTATGTCCCTGCTGTCTGAGTGCAGCACAACCTGGTAGTAGGCTGATGCCAGGTCCACCTTGGAAAAGCAGCGGGCTCCACTGAGGGCATGAAGCAGCTCCTCCATATGAGGTAAAGGAAAGTTGTCTGCTACTATAGCTTTGTTGGGTTCGTGGATATCGACACACAGTCGAATGCTACCATCTGCTTTGCGGGCTGCTACAATAGGAGATACCCACTCGGAAGCATTGACTCTCTCAATGACATCAGCAGCAAGTAGCTTCTCAATCTCGTCAAAGACTGGCTGGCGGACTGAAAATGGTAGGGGTCTCAGCTTCTGTGCGACTGGTGTGATGGAAGTTTTCATCTTAACTTTGTGTTGCACACCTCTTCCCAGGCCAGGCAAAAATAAGTGGCCAAACTTGGTCCACAGTGTTGGCGGCATTCCAAACTTGGGAGGACCAAGGGGTTTTTCATGCCTGGGGCTTTGGGGAAGGCCTGAACTCATTGCTGGAAGCTCTCGGCATTCCTGCGTGGACATTTGCAGGCAGCGCAACTCCTCTCCCATGATGCGAAGGCCAAGGGCTTGAACAGCATCCAGGCCAAGGAGAGATGTACCACATGGCATAACATGAAAAGTTACAATGGCTTCTTTCCCCTTGTATGTGACTATGGCGTGAAATGACCCGAGAACGGGAATCTTCCTGCGCGAAAAATCCAGCAATGTAAGATGGGAACTTGTGAGTTGTACTGCGTTTGCGAACAAGCCTTGGAATTGGTGCTCACCCTTAATAGACACGGCCGAGCCTGTGTCCACCAAAAAGTTCATGGTATGCACCCGTGTCGTCGCGGTAACTGACGCGACATTGACACCCACGTAGACGCCTGTGCTCTTATCAGTACGGACCGCCAAGATGCTAATGACACTGGTAGCATCCTCTTCCGGAACGATTTCCTGGACCTCTGCAGAATACCCTTCTTGGCCGCGACGGTAGCTGCGACATGCTCTCTTAAAACGGCCGCGGCGTCCGCAGGCAAAACAAGTGCGACCGCGCGCGGGACATTCCATAGGCGAACACCGTGCTGCGCCGCAGTTTTCGCAGGCATTTACATTTCTAGGCCCGGGGACAGCAGCGGCGGCGGCATTCATATTAGGTGAAGGTGCGCTGTACACGCGTGAGCAGCTGAAGTGGCGACGGCCCGGGAGGCGTGTGCCATTATCGCCGTTATCTCGTCGATCATGCCTGGCTGAGCTGTCTCGCAACTGCTGCTGAATGCGCTGCACAGGATTGGCAAAGGCTTCGGATTCACGCTGGGTTTGCTCACGAAGCCGTGCTACCTCGACAGCATGATCGAACGTAAGGTTATCGCCCTCCAGCAGCAATCGCTCTCGTAGCCGCTGGCACGTGACGCCTGCTACGAACTGTTCACGCAGGTTTTCGTCCGCTTGAGTGGCGAAATTGCAAAGAGCTGCTAACTCCCGAAGCGCTACGGCGAAATCAGTGATGGGCTCACCCTGCAGTTGACGACGCTCCCGGAATCGATGGCGTTGAAGGCGGACGTTGCAAGGGGCGGCGAAATGCTTCGAAAGCATCTCAACGGCTACGTCGTGCTCGTCGGGTGGGCGTAGGGCTCCCGTGGTCATATCTTGCGTTCCAGTAGGTGCTGTGGTTCCGATGATTCCAGCGGCGGCATCTGGCGTGGCCGTGACACCGGGTGCAGCACTCATTGTCTCTGCCTTGGTTTGCGTCGTACTCAGGGGCGGCGCCAGGGGGGGGGGGGCAAGGGTGGGCTGGAGCCCCCCCAAAATTCTCGCCTGCCCCCCCTATGCCCACCCAAGTACCCGGATGCATATATTGAAAACCTAGTAAGAGCAGAGCTAGCTTGCCCCCCCCCCCCCCCCGGAGGAACTCACTTTTCGTGGTTGCCCCCCCCAGTAAAAACATCCTGGCGCCGCCCCTGGTCGTACTAGGTGGAAGCGCGTCGAAAATGCACTGTCCTTCCGTCCCAAGACAGTGCAGCAGGAGGGCTCAGCGACGGGGTGCGAGTAGCTCGTTCGCTCCGGACGGCAGCAGAAACCTTTCGAACAGTCGTAACCATCGTGCCCATGGCACATCGGGCGTGCCGGGGGTGGCCAGGAAAGGAGGAGGTGGCAAAATGCCCGTGGAATCCATCCTCGTCGCCAGAATGTCGTGTAGCCAGCATGGCGACACGTGAAAGTAACCACGCTAGACCACTGTACGATCTATGACAATAATCCAGTTTAATCAGCGAGTATCGTTTATATACGCACGAGCGCAGTGGCGCCATCTATTGTGAGTCCAATGACTCAGAAGGCCATCTGGTGTAAACGCACAACACTACAGTTTTTTTTTTTTATTTGCTGGCTGCGCCAGCAGCGTAGCAAGAAACTTCTTTCAAGTTTAGGCATTACCGTTCCTTATGCATGCTGGTGCATCTCTTTGTATGGGTACGTGTACACAAGCACCCCCCCCCCCTCACCGCAGCACTGCCTACGCAAAAGGTCGGTGTGATTTTGGTAGCTGAAGTCAGTTCTGACACCAATAAGACGCCTGGATTGAGCACTCCTATTGTTTTACGCTTGAAAGAAGTTACTGCAGTGGTGATGTTTGGTCAGTGATGGGCTCTATCTCATAAATAGAAAAATGTTGCTGAGGCTTGATAAAGACAAGAAATTAAAGTACTTGTGAATACTTTATTTTTATCTTTTGTTTTAATGTATACATTGTGCATTTATTACTGAATATTGTGCTTGAACATATGTACCTGCCCTGTGTTATGATCTTGGCATTGGCATCTTTTTATAGGTATAATTTGTAAATTTGTGCGCGCCATGATTTATTTATATTTGTATCGGGATATGTATATACGTTGCACACATTTTGTGGCAGCTGTCGTGTTTGATTTTTCGCGCATTCATTTCAAATGTGTGCACAATGAATGTCTAACAATCTTTGTATTTGTTAGGCACATTGGGGAAATAGATTAGAATGCAGTTTTACAACACAATATTTTTATAACAAATGAGCTGCGTTGTATTTTGCATGTGCATTTTTTACTACAGGCTACAGCTCTGTCGAGTCTATCGCTTCAGATAGGCATTTTACCTTATCAGTGGAAGGTAGGGGAGGTAGTTCTACTTCTCAAATCAGCTTAGAAAAGCTTAACAACCAACTATCGCCCCATTTCTCTTACCAGCACGTGCTTCAAACTACTATATAATACTTCGTAATCAGAAGCATCCTCAATTTTCTTGAAAATGACACCTTCTTTTCGCCTTCACAACACAGTTTTAAGAAATCATAATCATGTGAGACTCAACTCGTATCTTTCACTGATGTAATTATTGATCGTTCATCATCCACTGATAGCATTTGGTTTAGATTTCGCAAAAGCGTTGGATAAAGTGCGTCATAAACTTCTCTTACACAAGTTACGGAACTTAAATCTTGACATTACCCTTTTAAAATAGGGCGGATGCTTTCTTGCTAATCGCTTACAGTGCGTTACCGCCTACGGCTACAATTCATAAATGTGCCATGTTACCTCAGGAGTGCCCCAAGTGTTGGTTCTCGATCTTTTGTTGTTTCTAGTATATATTATTGACCTACTCTCTCAAGTAACTTCTAATATCCACCTTTTTGCTGATGATTGCGATACTTTTACAGAAATTACTTCAGACGACTATTGTTATCACCTACAATCCGATTTAAATATAATATCTAACTGGGGCAGCTTGTGGCTAATGGAACTAAATATTAACAGATATAAAGTTAAGCATATATTTAGGTCACCTAACTCTTCTCGTGTATACTACTTAAATATTCTTCCTTGAGATCAAGTAACCTCATACAGTACTTAGGAATTGATATCACATCCAATCTTACTATACGCATGGGCTTGTAATAGTGCAGTGGTGACTGCCCGGCGCCCTACTCAAGCCAGGGTGTAAAAGGGGAATACCCATCTTGACAGACAGAAGTTTTTTGTTATCTCGTTGAACGCGAGCAAGGGTTCGCCTCGAGGTAGGCAGACTGTGGAGGCAGCATGGTCTTTTGGCGTCGTCGTCCACACAATGAAAATTCGGCGAATGCCTTCATCAAACCACATGCCCACAAACGACACGCTGGGGAAGGTGGGTGGAGTGGACGCAAACCATTGTTGGAGGCTCAGCCGAGCTTCCAACGAGGGAGAATGAGCGTTTTTCTGTCTGCAAAGTCTACCCCCTCCCCCTTTTTTCGCTCAGTAGTCGGCTTGACGGAAGAATAATCATCATTGCAGGAGCAGGTTTTTCTTGCTGGAGTGCCGGTGTGTGGACAAGTGTGGACGAGTCAAAATCGTGTGCGAGTTGGATACGCGGCAGGATTCCGGCACTGCTTTCGGCAGAGATAACCACAGCATGCAGCCAGTGACCCAGTGCTTCCATTTTGGATTCGCTCGCTTCATATAAGGCCTTATGCTGGCTGCTCTACGTCTCATCATATTTCAGTTCTGGTTTTACTGCACATTTGCTAGTGAACATTCTTTTTTTTGTGTATTCTCTTTCTATGGTGTGCCTGGGTGTTCCATTCACTTGTGTTTTTACCGATGAAACGGGCACACGGGAAAGGTTTTCCTACACGATTTATTTCATTACAATAATATCATGAGATGAGCAATGCGTGCGGCCGGGTGTGTCTACCCTCTCTATATGTGAAGTTGATTGAATCTTGTGGTATACCTCTCAAGCCTCGTGATGTTTTTCAGGCCGCGTCCGGTAGTTTATACGTGTTTTAGGCCCGTGAGTCATTACTGAAATAGTTTGAATTTCTGCTTGCAGCTTACCGGCAATGTGATTGCCGGGCATGTGTTGCAAATGACTAACGTTTAATTTCGAATCAACTTGACCTTATTTTTTTGATGAATGCGAGAAACATAGGGGGAGGGGAAGCTTTACTGCTAGTACCCTTAATTCCGCGTTTTCGCCGGGCCGTCTAACATTATCTTTGTTTTCTTTGGGCCTCTCTTTATTCAGACTTCAACGTGTCTTTTTTTTTACATCTCCAGATTTTCTTTTGTGAATCATCGCCGGCATTACTAAAAAGCGCGATATTGTCCGCAAAACTGAAATAACAAAGATGTTATACGTTAGGCCTTATTGTTTTGTATTCGTTCTAGTTCTTTAATATTGTTACCACATGTGTAATTTAGGTATGTGCACCTGTGTAGCGGGGAACATGGTGGTAGCAGAAGAAGAGGACGTTCGGTTCGTGGCAAGAGCTCGTGGCAAGAGTGTCGAACGAAGAAGCCGGGCTGACAACGCGACCGCCATTCGCCTTCAAAGTGCTCGCCGCTTGTGCGCTCGCACGCTTGCTTGCTCTGGGGGTTTGGCTGAAATCTGAGTAGCCTCTACTGAATTTCTTCTTGGATAGGCGTATCTAAAGCCTTAGCATTGATTAGCTAGTACCCTTCTGGCTAGTCAATCCAGACAGATGCCGCTTTCTTCGCCTGGACCAGGGACTTATCTCTGGTCTGCTTCTCTTTCACCGCAGGAGCTACCAGTGGACCGGTTCCTACGCAATGGCGTCGCTTCCGTTCCTGTGGCCCTAGTCCCAAGCAACGACGGAGTCATTAAGATGAAAAACCCTAAAGTGATCCAGTCGGAACTCAAAGCAGCGACAACTCACTATCACACCATCACAGAGGTCCGGCAGTTTGGCAAGGGAGGCATTGTCTGCTTTTCTCCTGACCAGCTCTGTGTCAAAGACTTACTTAAATGCTCGATGTTCGCTACCAATCCGGTGAGCGCCTTCATTCCTCCTCACCTAGCATGCGTCAGAGGTATTGTCCGAGGCGTAGACATCAACATGACTCCAGCTGAGGTCCTAGAGATGTTCTCTGAGGCAGGTGCTATTGCAGTTTATAGATGCTCACGAGTTGTAGAACAGACAAAGATCCCTACTGAGTCTGTAATTGTCACATTTGCCGGGTCGATTCGCCCCACTGAAATCAAGGCGTGGCCTTTAATATTCAGAGTCGAACAACTGTCACCTCGTCCCCTCCAGTGTCAGAAATGTTGGCGCTATGGACACACTTTAAAAGGATGTAGGTCAGCTCCCAGATGCCGAAAATGTGGTGAGGCACATACTGCAAATGAATGCAATTGTACTGAAGAAAAGTGTTGTCTTTGTCATGAGCAGCACTGCGCAGATAACGCTAATTGCTCAGCCAAAGCGCGGGAGACTCAAATTATGGAAATTGTTGATCGCAGACGCTGTTCACGAAAAGACGCCATCGCTGAAATTCAGGCAAGAACCCAGGGATATGCTGGTGTTGCAGCCCGACATAATGCAACTTTAGAAGCTTCTCTTTCAGTGTCCATTGCAGACATGATTGAAAAAGCGATGGAGAAAGCTATAGATCGCCTGGCCACCACCCTTTGTGACTCCTTATCTCATATTGTAGCCACTCAGTTGACGCAAATATATGGGACACCAAGAGATATGAAGGATACTTCCCAAGACAACGTAACTCTCCCACCAAGTGAAGCAGACGCAGAGTCATCTCCTTCAGGGGTACAGGCTGCAGGGCCCTCTTGTACAGACAACCAGAGGATAGGTGAAGACATACTAGAGGATGATCAGGATTATGATGATATGGACATGGACATCAAATCCCTAAAGCGCACTCGATCCCCTGTCTCCAAAAATACTGGCTCTTCAAAACATT